TACAGCGCTTCGTGGCCCCATAGGGAGCTCCACCGAAGCCCCCAGTGGGACGGTCCGCATGCGCCCCGAAAGCTTAATTTGGCAGTTTCACCCACCCAGTAAAGCGTTTCGTGGCCCCATAGGGAGCTCCACCGAAGCCCCCAGTGAGACTGTCCGCGTGCGCCTGAAAAAACTTAATTTGGCATTTTCACCCACCCAGTACAGCGCTTCGTGGCCCCATAGGGAGCTCCACCGAAATCCCCAGTGGGACTGCATGAATGCGTCCCACACACACAATGTGGCATTGTCACCCACCCAGTACAACGCTTCGTGGCCCCATAGGGAGCTCCACCGAAGCCACTAGTGGGACCACCCGCATGCGTCCCACACGCCGAACTTGGCAGTTTCACCAACCCAGTACAGCGTTACGTGGCCGCACTGGGAGCTCCACCGGAACCCCCAGTGGGACCGCCAGCGCGCGCCCCACACATTCAATTTTGCATTTTCATCCACCCAATATAACGCTGCGTGGCCACATTGGGAGCTCCACCGACGGCCCCAGTGGGACCGCCCGCATGCGTCCCACACGCACCATGTGGCATTTCCGCCCGCCCAGTACAGCGTTTCGTGGCCCCATTGGGAGCTCCACCGAAGCCCCCAGTGGGACCGCCCTCATGCGTCCCACACACCCAATGTTGCATCTTCACCCACCCAGTACAACGTTTCGTGGGCCGATTGGGAACCCCACCGACGCCCCCAGTGGTACAGCCCGCATGCGTTCCCGCCCGCCCAGTGCAGCGCTTCGTGGCCCCATAGGGAGCTCCACCGAAGAAGGGATTCACAATCGCGGTGCCCATAATTGCATATGGTTGGGTCGCCAGGATAATTATTTTTGTTGTCCGATTGCCCACGCCGATATATATATATATATATATATATATATATATATATATCAGGCGCTGCAGTTGGGCATTCCAAGGGGGAGCCGCCACGAGGTATGGTACTCGCCCAGTCGCGCCACAATTGTGGGGATGCCCCAGGCAACTTGCCTGCGTCTGCCCCCCAGGGTGCTTTCCCAACCATCCTGTGGTGTTGGGTCCTCGTTTTGACGAGACAGCGCCCCGCGTCTCCTTCCTCCTCCCGCTGCACATTCCCTCCCCTCTCATCAGCATCATCATCATCATCATCAGCATCATCATCATCATCAGCAGCAGCAGCAGCATCATCATCGTCATCATCATCATCATCATCATCATCATCATCATCATCATCATCATCATCATCGGCATCATCGTTATCGCCATCACCATCAGCATCGTCATCATCACCATCAGCGTAGTCATCATCGTCGCTCCTCCCACGGCTCGTGGCCCCACAGGGAGCTACGCCGAAGGCCCCAGTGGTTGCGTTCGCATGCGGTTCCACACCCCCATTTCGGCACACCCCTCACACGTTTCGTGGCCCCACAGAGAGCTCCACCGAAGGCCCCAGTGGCTGCGTTCGCATGCGGTTCCGATCCCCCATGTCGGCACACCCCAAACACGTTTCGTGGCCCAATCGGGAGCTCCACCGAAGGCCGCAGTGGCTGCCTTCGCATGCGGTTCCATTTTCTATTTCGGCACACATCTCCCACGCTTCGTGGCCCCATAGGGAACTCCACCGAAGGCCCCAGTGGCTGCGTTCGCATGCGGTTCCACCCCCCCATTTCGGCACACCCCTCACACGCTTCGTGGTCTCATAGGGAGCTCCACCGAAGGCCTCAGTGGATGCGTTCGCATGCGGTTCCAGCCCCCATGTCGGCAAACTCCTCACACGTTAAGTGGCCCCACAGGGAGCCCGACCGAATGCCCCACTGGCTGCGTTCGCACGCGGTTCAATTTCCCATGTCGGCACACAGGGAGCTCCACCGAAGGCCCCAGTGGTTGCGTTCGCATGCGGTTCCACTCCACGTTTGGGTGCACCCCTCGCACGTTTCGTGGTCTGCGAGGGCACCACCGAATGCCGCAGCGGCAGGTTCCGCATGTGCACGCTTCGTGGCCAGATCGGGAGTTCCACCGAAGGCCCCAGCGGCTGCGTTCGCATGCGGTTCCACCCCCAATTTCGGCACACCCAAACACGTTTCGTGGCCCCATAGGGAGCTCCACCGAAGGCCGCAGTGGCTGCGTTCGCATGCGGTTCCACTTCGTTGTTTCGGCACACCCCTCCCACGTTTCGTGGCCCGCTAAGGAGCTCCACCGAAGGCCGCAGTGGCTGCGGTTCCGCCCCCCATGTCGACACACCCATCACACGTTTCGCGAGCCGTTCGCAGCCAGAGCCATGCGCGCTATCAGTTAGCCAGCAAACACTTTCTGTTCCGCACAGCGGACGAACCGCGCACGTCGCTGGGACTCCGCGCTGCGCTGCGCCCGCAGCCTCGGACTTTGGAGCGCGCGGGCTAAAAGGGAGGCAAATAAAGGAAGGAAGCGGGCGCGATCCTCGTGGGGGGGGCGTGCCGACATGGGCGTCGCGGCGTGCGGGCGCTGCCGTCGGGTTTCCAGGAGAAGCCCCCTGCGGCGGCCACCCTCAGTGTCACGAGTACTCAGAGTCAGGCGTACCCGAACCGTTTACATTCACATACGTATGTATAGATATACACACCAGGCGTGTATGTACAGATGTATGTATATATATGAATATACATATATATATATATATACATAGGTGTGTAGAAATATACATATAGGTGTATACATGTATATATATATATATATGTGTATACACATATATGCATATATATATGTGTATATACATGCTCGGAATCATGCGAATATATATTCACTCGCACGCATTCACACTCTGACTCACTCGTGCTCAGACTCACACGAGTTCTGTCTTTCGTAATTCGACCTGTCGTCTCCGTTCCAGTTGTGTACCCGGCCACACAGTTCGGCACACCCATCATACGGTTCGTGGCAACATAGGGAGCGCCACCGAAGAACGTATTCACAATTGCGGTACTCACAATTGCGTATGGTTGGGTCTTTCGCCAAGTTAATTGTTTTGTGGTGGTCGTTTGCATGCTTCTGTCCCCTAGATGTTTCTCCTTTCGTGGCCCACTGCTCTCAGGCTCACTGATAGTTAAACTCATTCCTGTTCAGACTCATCCAAATCAGAGCCACCCACACCCAGATTAATTCACACTCGGAATTACTCACATTCAGACTGACACACCCTTTGATGTATTCAGACTCAGACAACCTCGTACGCAGGCTCACTTAATATTTTAAGGGTTGTACTCACCACTCACATTCGGATTCGCTCACAGTCAGGGCCGCTCGCATTCAGACCCGCTCGTAATCAGACTCGCTCGCGCTCAGACTTACTCATGTTCAGACCCCTTCGTATTCAGAGCTTCTCATAATCAGATTGACTCACACTCAGGCTCAATCCTTCTTGACACACTCTCCGACTCGCTCACATTCATATCATTGGCGTGCATATGTTTCGCAGTATGCCTCAGACAAATGACTACGGCGATACAGCCAGCGTGGCATCTGGGGACCCAAAAAGCCAGCATTCTCACGACAAGGGAAGTTCCCCAGGAGAGGGGGGCGTCACTGAAGTCGTCGCTGTCGTCGTCGTCGTTGTCGCGCCCGTCGTCTACCTGTACTCGCTCCCACACCGAGGTACTCACAGACAGAATTCTCCACCGAGACGTGACAGTTGTATGATGCACATCTGCGGATCGCTGCTCTGCGAGGGGGTGTGTTTATATTGACTGCGGAGTGTTTGGCCTTGCGAGTGCGGATCCACAACGTTGTATTACCATGGCAGTTTTGCGAAGAGACAGTCTTGAGTATGTTACGAAGGTTCCTAGCCCGAACGAGGATTTATTGCATTTTGCTACGGTATCGTTCTTTGCATTCCCACACGTCTGGGCGCCGCTTTCCCTCGTTTCTAAGCTATCGCATTGTTTGTTTCGAAAAATACGGGTGCACCTCTGTCCCATCATGTTGATTGAGTCTGTCAGCCTTGCACGAATCGGCAACTCGAGAGCTTCAGCCCGCCAGTTCGATTTCTTCCCAAGAGTGGACATTCGTGTGCTCTGGCGTATGATTGCGGCTCCCACAGCCGTGGCTGAGTGGTGGGCTCGCCCCCCACCCATCACGACATGTAGGTCCCGTCGACGGTGGGTCGAGGACCAGCTGACGCCACGAGGCCCCGGCCCCTCGTACAGTTTCTCCCCTTGCCTTGCCTATTGACTTCCCCCACGTCATCCGCCTCATCACATCCCTGGAGCTCGGCGCCGATCGCTAGACCGACAGGCGAGAGGAGGGGCGGGATGAGGTGGAAGCGGAGGAGGGGAGCGTCGTTGCGCCAGCACCGAGGGCATCTTGCAACAGGCAGCGGGCCGGGCGCAGCGGTGCAAAAAAAGGTCAGGCGCCGGTCGGGCTGCAGGCGGGACACGCCGATAACAAGCTGAGGCACAGCAAGGAAGCACAGCAAGGAAGCAGGGTTTTTGTTTTTGGTTTTTTTTTTTTGCAATCCTTCGTTTTTTTTTCAATCCTTCGTTTTTTTTTTTTGCAATCCTTCGGACAGGGCGGGAGCCGCTGAGAACATGCAGTCCGTCGCGGGGGTGCCGGAGATGCAAGGCGCCAAGGCGCGGCTGCGACACGGGCAGCGACGGCCGGAGCCGGAGACCGCAGCACAGAGGGCACACGCCCGACTCTCAGCAAGCTCTGCTCTCTCCTCCCGCGCCTCCACCCTCTCCAGAGCAAAGCACACACCACCCACCGAAGGAGACCAGACCACCCCCAACAAGCAAGGCATGCCACCCCGCTGCTATGACGACGTCGACGCACGCCACTGTAGAAGTGGCGAGGTCGGCGGCGCGGCCCATGGCGCGGTGGCGGCGCTGGCAGCGTCGACGGCGGCGACGGCGACGCTCTCACTGCGATGAGTGCTAGGCCCAGGCGGACCGGCCAGCTCGAGAGGCGTCGCCCCCCCACCGCTCCCGCCCATCCTCCTCCTTCCCCTCAGAGGCCATGCCCGTTGGGAGGCTCATCAAGTGGCACGCGGACAAGGGCTTCGGATTCATCCAGCCGGAGGCGAGGGTCCCCGAGGGTCGTCGCCAGGGGCAGCGCCAGAGGAGGGGGATACGTGATCGAGCGTCGTCGGAGGTTTCCGGAGGCCTTCGGGGCATCGGGTGGTTTCCGTCAGTTGCGTCTCGCCGGGGGCCTTCCAGGGGTGCCCGAATCGTCCGAACGGCCGCCGGAGAGGCGAGCGCGCGGCGAGCGACGACCCAGAAACCAAGGGGCAAGGGCAGGGTAGGTATAGGCTCAGGCTGGAATGCGTCGACCCCCTCCTCCCCTCCTCCTCCTCTCCTCCTCCTCCTCCTCCTCCTCCTCCTCCTCCTCCTCCTCCTCCTCCCCTCTTCTTCTTCTCCTCCTCCTCCTCCTTTTCCTCCTCCTCCTCCTCTCTTCTCCTCTCCTCCTCATCCTCCTCTCCTCCTCCTCCTCCTTCCTCCTCCTCCTCCTCCCCCTCCTCCTCCTCCTCCTCCTCCTCCTCCTCCTCCCTCCTCCCTCCTCCTCCTCCTCCTCCTCCTCCTCCTCCTCCTCCTCCTCCCCCTCCCCCTCAGCGGAGGCTGAAGTAAAGAACAAGGCCGAGAGGAACCCCACCACGAGGGCTCCTAGGGTCTCCAGACTTGCAGCGCTGGCAGCAGCGTCGAACCATGTTTTAGAGCCATGCGGTTCTAGCCAGAAATACTGATGGTGCACCATCTGTGAGAGAGTTTTGCCCCGATACAAAGTTCGGGAATTTGCGGCCGCTAAATGTTCAGGCCCCCCTGCGAAACCACAGGTTGGAGCCATGGCCCCCCCCAGGAGAGAGGACTGGGCCTGCCATTCGTGGGCAGGGCATGTGCGCGGCTTTTCACCTCTCTCACAGAATTCAGTGTGTGGAACATGGTTCTTGCACGTCTGCTCGGTGTGTGGACAGTATGTCACCATCACACCGTCGAACCTTGCATCTAGCTGTGTGGGTAAGAATCGCAATGGCAACGAGAATCTGTCCAGGCTCAGAAGGGGCCTTTTTCCTCGGCGTGAAGGACCCCCGAAAGCCGTTCGGGAGGCCATCCTGGCCCGCGATGCTGCTGCATGTGTTTCTGCGGACGCCAGCGCCCCGCAGCAGGAAAACCCAGGTGCCGTCCTGCCTGGCCAGGCTGCTGGGCCTTCGGGGGCCCAGGCCGGAGCGGGGGATGGGCCCGCGGCTCCGTCCAGGCCTGGCCAAGGCCAGGCGCCGCGGCCTCCTCAAGGCCGAGGCGATCCCAGGGCTTAAGCCGCCCCCCAGGACAGAGTCCGTTATCAAAGAGTTCCAAAGAGTTCCTCCTCCTCCTCCCCCTCCTCCTCCTCCTCCTCCTCCTCCTCCTCCTCTTGGAATAGCCGTGGGTTCCGTTCTGAAGCAGAAGCGACGCGCTCCGTCGGCATTTTGGGCGGCACTGGCCTCTCGCGTGTCCCGAGGAGGGGCCCTCGAGGGCCCGCTCCTCCTCCTCCTCCTCCTCCTCTCCTCCTCCTCCTCCTCCTCCTCCTCCTCCTCCTCCTCCTCCTCCTCCTCCTCCTCCTCCTCCTCCTCCCCCCTCCTCCTCCTCGCTCCTCCTGGGAAGGAGCTCCGTCCTCCTCCTCCTCCTCCTCCTCCTTCTCCTCCTCCTCCTCCTCCTCCTCCTCCTCCTGGGCGGCCTTGATTGGACAGGACACGCGAGAGGACGCAAGACCCTTCCGAGGGTCACGTTGCCACAGGAATGCAGGAGGCAGGGGTCGCGAGACACAGGGCACAGAGGTGCCCTTGATTTGGCAGGGTCGACCTGCTAATCCGGGCCGACCGTATACTTTCCCTGATCCGCAATCCATGCTAGCGCGTGCCCGTCCATCGCCCATAAATCGCCCGCAGGGGCCCGATAGTCCACCCCGCCCAGGAAGGTGCGGCTTCAGCACCCTCCCGTCCGAATTGCGGTAACGCGTCTCGTGCTCGAGGATCCGCAACCAAGTCAGGGAAGCCTGATTCGCAAGATTGCGGTGCACCCATTGCAGCGGCTAAAATGCAACATCGGGAACAGTGCACGCTTGCACCTCCACGTTCCCGCCTGGCCGCCTTCCAGTCGGCGGCCAAAGGCGAGTGCGAAAAGCGTATGTACAAATGCCCGCCATTGAAGGGCAGCCGACAGGTCGGGGACGGAGGCGGAGGTGGCACCGATGATTGCGTCAGTTATCCAGCTGCCTGCGACCTGCTATCCTGCCAGCCCAGCAGCGCAGCAGGAAGATGGTTGAGCTTAAGACCCGCCCCGGCTCAGCGCCCTGCCCAAACCGTCCCCCGTCGCGTGTCTTGTGCTTCTGCACCGTTCCCCTCCTTCATCGTCGTCCCCCTCCTCTCTTCTGCCCCTCGGTGGCATCCTCCGCTCTCCCGGGGGCCTGTGTGGGCCTCCTGGGCACCTTGAGGGCCTCTTGGGGGCCTGCCAGAGGCTTGCCGAGAGAGCCCGTTGAGGGCCTCGGGGCCGCCTGGGGCGTGATGGTTCTACCGAGTCCCTCCTCCTCCTCCTCCTCCTCCTCCTCCTCCTCCTCCTCCGTCCTCCTCCTCCTCCTCCTCCTCCTCCTCCTCCTCCGTCCTCCTGAAGCGATTCGGCTGAGCCATCTTTGGGGCGGGCGGGTCTTGGGGAGCCGTCGTGGAGCCCTCTCGGGTCGACTGGACGTAAGAGTGACCTTTCGCCGGAGTGACCTCTGGTGCGGGCACAGATGGGCCCCCAGGTGGCCGAACGCGAAGCGGTAGTAGCGGCAAGCGCGCCTGGCCTTGGCCTCCCCGCGGCGCCCCCGAAGCCGCGCACCAAAGGTCACTCTTGCCCAGGGTCACTCTTACGTGTAGCCGATCGGGGCAGTCTTGAGCCGTCTTGGGTACGCATCGGGCCTTCTTGGGGGCCCTCTTTGGAGGCTCTCTGGGGCTGCGCGCAGATCTTAGATTCTAGGCCTCCCAGATGGGGTCGGAGTAGCTGGGGTCGGGGGATCGCGCCGCATCGCCGATGCATCGCCGATGCGGGTCGATGTGATGTGGAGCCCGATTGCTTCACGTCGACGGCGATGCATCGCCGATGTATCGGCGATGCGGTGCGACTCTCAAACCCCATCTACTCCGACCCCATCTAGGAGGCCTCTATAGATGTTCCGGAGGCCGAGGCGGTCTGAAGCCGAAGCTTCTTGGAGGGAGCAGCAAAGAAGGCAGGTCTTCGTGGTCTGCATCGCGTTGGGACTCTTCTGGCCTCGCTGCAGGTCCTCCGGGCGAGTCCCTAGCGCCTCCTGGGGGCATCTCTGAGCCTTCTGGGGGGGGTTTAGGAGCTTTTCAGGGGTCTGTGTGCTTTGACTGGCCATCGGGCGTCTGATCTGCTCGATCGAAATGAGTACGGCAAGAGTGGGCACGAAGACCGATTGTAGCTCCTGCCTGTTTCGAACAGGACACGCTGTCAGCGTCGCCGCGGACGGGGTCCACTTGAGACAAAGAGCCGCCTGCCCAACGGCGGCCGCTGTCGGATTTCAGCGACGGTGCTGCTGCTGAGCATCGCACCCATGTTTTCTGTGCCATCTCAAAGCTGTGTTGAGGCGGGTTTGGAGCCGTCTTCAGGCCGAAGAGGGCGGCCCGGAAGCAGTGCCAGGAGCCCTCCCTGGGAGGGCCAGCGCCCCGTTCTTGGGCCGCCGTTCTCCGGGCGGTGGAAGGGACGGATGGCCGAAGGCATGGCGGAGCGATCGAGGAAGCGGCGGTTGGGGATGTCATCTTCTGGCGACGAGGTCCCAGAGGCCAGGACTCCCATGGCTGTAGATTTCGGGAGAGCTGCTTGGTCTTGGATTCGAGGAGGCGATCGCTGATGCTGGACGACCCCTGAGCCCACGCGGCAGGTCATGTAGATACCCGCAGTTCCCGCATCCGCCAGCAGGGGCGAGGCCTTGAGCTTCATTTCGTTCTCGAGGGTGGTCTTTCGGTGCGAATCCATCTTGGTCGTCATGTTTGCCAGTGCCGAGGCAGACGAGCGGAGAGGTTCCGCGACGTCCCAGGATCGCTCGTGAGTGCCGAGCAGTTCCAAGACATAGCGAGTTATGGAATCATTGTGCTCCCTCCGCTGGCCCATCTTGCATCACGGGTGCTACATCTATGTTGGTGTGCTCGTGGCGAGCGATGAGGAGGAGGAGAAGGAGGAGGAGGACGAGGATGACGAGGAGGAGGAGAAGGAGGCGGAGGAGCGGAGGATGAGGACGAGGTCTCTCGATGGCTTCTCGGGGCTTTCTTGGGGCCAAGTGGGGCGGTGAGCGACAGGCAGTTCCAGCACGCAGCGAGTGATTGTCCACGGCCCATTCGCTGGTGTCGACAGCTGGCTCCAGGGTAAGTTTGCAAAAGGCGCCGTACCACCAAGGCTTCTTCAACGGGGGAAGGCTGCCTCCGCAGCGGAGCACGATCAACGGCAATGCGCGCCATGGCTCCCACGCGATCGGCTGCAGTGCAGTCTGGGGATCGCACAGTGTGTTCTGGTCGCGCGGGTGTTCTTGCACAGCCAAGGCGTGCATCCGCTTTTTGTCGGCACCGTTCTGTGCTTCCTGTGGACACAGCCTAGTAGCCTAACTAACACCTGCAAAATGAAGTTCGAAATCAGCATTCCAATTTGCATTGGATTCTAGGAAAGAAGTACAATGCTCGCCCTCGACTTCCGCCTCTTCATCGTCGTCCTTATCCACCTTCTCCTGTATGTGAAGTGCTGGGGATGCTACGCCACTGGGAGGACCATACAGCGGATTTCTGATTCGGCCTTCTTATCTTCCAAGCCTTACCTCTGTCATCCTCCTCCCCATCGCGAGTCTGGGGGCGAAGACCTGTTCTGCCACGTGACCGCCCTGCTGGATGGCGAGGGCAGCGTTCAAGAAGGTGACTCGGTTCGCTTCCAGGTATCTTACGACGATCGCAAGGGCAAGGACTCCGGGGGGAAGGAGGAGCAAGAGGGGTCGAGGCACGTAGCTCGGAACATGAAAACGAGCACGAGCATTGTATGAAGACGCATGTATTCGCGACTGGTCCCGTTTCCATACGAAAGCAAGGCGCTTCGTCGCCAAATGAGGTGGCATTGGCTGCAAGTTTGGGATACGTCACATGAATCTGGCACGCGTGCGCCAGATCCATGGCTATGTTAGCGTGTACCCGAAAGGAGGAGGCGGCGAAGGATGAGGACGGGAGTAGGAAGACCAAAAGGAGGAGGAAGAGGGGGAGGAGGAGGACCCAGATTGGTTGGGCATCATCGCGGGTGGTGGGGATCAACGACCTGCCGCAGCCAATTGTCCGCAACGCTGCCTAATCCCCAGTGTGTCTAGCCTCTTCTTTATCTTTTGCTGCGGTATGTCATGCATCCCCCTCCTCCTCCCTTTCCAACGCTTTTCTGGCTGTCAAGCCACCTTCATTTTTAGAATCATCCCCGTCTGTGCTGGCCACCCCTGGAGCGGTGCTCCAGGGCTCGCTTGGCATTAGCTCGATCATGCCTTCAGCTCGTCAGACGGAGGAGGAGGAGGAGGAGGAGGAGGAAGAGGAGGAGCTCAGACGTCGTCATCATCATCGTCAGCATCATCAACTTAATCATCAGCATTGAAATCATCACCATCAGCATCATCATCATGGTCGTCATTATCAGCAGCGTCATTATCAGCACCAGCATCAGCATCACCGTCTCCATCACCATCGTCATCATCGTCGTCACCGTCATCATCATCATCATCATCATCATCATCATCCTCATCATCATCATCATCAACGTCATCATCAGCATCCTCATCGTCACCATCATGATTATCATCATTACCATCTCCATCAGCATCGTCATCACCGTCATCATCACCATCATCACCACCATTATCAGCTGCATCATCATCAGCATTACCATCATCCCCATCATCATCAGCATCATCATTATCATCAGTCTCATCATCAATAGCAGCTTCAGCCTCATCTTAAGTATCAGCAGTGTCTTCATTATCCGCATCATCATCTGCATCATCAGCATCATCATCACCATCATCAGCATCACCATCATCATCATCACCATCATCAGCACCAGCATCATCACCATCATCACCATCATCATCATTCCGTAGCCAATTTTTGGCTCAAGTATGAAACGCGCCCTTGGTTCTTCAAACTTTGACGCAGCCGCGGTGAAGGCCCAAGCGTCCATTTTACCCGTGACCGACCCCGAAGGTCCCCAACGGCCCACCCGTCGCCACAGCGTTTCGGCAAGCACCAGTCCCATGTTTGCGTCCTGCCGCCCTACCAGAGTCGCCTCCCGATGGGTTCCATGGCCGAGGAGAGTGCGCTGAGTCAGATCACGGCCCGCTTCGATTCGCTCGACCAGGACATCGCCGAACGTTAGCAGCTTGGAGAGAAGGTGAAGGCCAACGAAGCCAGGATGATCGAGAACGGGAGCAGGATGAACCGGTTCCAGGCCATGAGCAACAACGTCTTTGCCGACCTAAATCCAAAGGTCAGCGCATTTGGATCTGGGATTGCCCCGTCTCAAGACAATGCGTTCGTCAGGTTTCAGGAACAATTGGCTTCGTTCGGATCTCAGGTTGCGTCGATGTCAAGGGCCTGTTCAACCGCATGTCCATTTTCTGGGAGCTTCCCGCACGCCACGACTGTTTCAGACGTTCGGCGCGCCCGTGCTCCATCCAATGGGCCATACGGGGGGAGCAATCCATGTCGCCTGTGGGTTCGTGGTTTTCCGCGCAAGCTCATGCAGACCCAGTTCGTTGCCCATTACTCCGTACTCAAGACGAACCTGCCTGCTGAGCTGGTTGACGAGGTCATGCTGAAATGCCAGAACTTAAAGTCCCGTGTGCCCTAGACTTCCCCAACAAAGACGTAGCCGACTTCTGCTGGAGACATTTCAAGGGCATCAGTATGAAATCGGTCGATCCTCGTAGTCAAGTCTCTCATGATCTTCGCCTGGGGAAGGGCCAACCACTGCCTGTTCGACACAAAGCCTACGCGTTCGGCATCGCGTACAACATCACCCTCACTGAGATGAAGGAAAACAGTTGTGGAACGCGGCCGCCATGAAGCTCGGCACCACCCCCTTTTCATGGATCCCTTTACTTGGTGGAGAATGGCGGCCCATACGAGCTCGTCACTCTCAGAGAGACTGCCTGCGTTGTGGTGGGCAACCAAGAGGAAAAACATCGCAACATGAATGCAGCTCCTCAGTAAGTCTGATGTTGTTCTGTGTTTCGAAACCCGCGGGTCTGAAGGAGACTTGTGCTCCCCGGAGCGCGACTACCCATCCCACGTTCTTTTCGGTTCGTTCTGCCCCTTTTCTTCCAGCGGTGCCTGCACTATTTCAATGCGTAAGTCCGTTATGAATTGTTTCGGAGGCCAACCCGAAGTTGCATGCATCAGCAATGGGCGGGCGATGCTTCTATGTACGATTACGAGGTGCTAGCGGGTGTCTCCTCCCGGTGATCATCCATATCGAACCCTTGCTTCTTCGCGTAGCTAAATCTGACCCAATGACCCGTGCCTCGAGCGATCCCGAGCAGCAGCTGTTGTCGTTATTTCCTGGCTGGCGATGTCCACTTTGCCGGAGAGGACGACGTTCGGACCCCTCTCGACGGCAGCGAACCCTCAGTCGATTGTGCGACCCTGGCCAGGCACTTCGGCAAGGTCTTCCCGAGCGATTGTGAAACCGAACAGCCAGATTGCACCCATAGAATCCAGGTTCGCAATGTCGTCACGTCCGTCGCCAGGCTCGACAGGATCTACGGCAATGTCCCCGCTGGCGAGATCCTCGGCTGGCCCCCCACACCTGGTACCATTGGATTCGCACACGACATTGATCAGGTATCCGATCACGTTCCCGCGTTCCTGCCGTTGCCCCTTGGGTTCACGAAGCCTCCATTTATCCCAAGATGGATCCCAGAACATCCTGATTCTGACCCGGTGATCGAATCATTCATCGAAGAAGCAGGTCTCGAGGGGAACCCCTTCCAGCAGCTGGACCTGCTGAGGGGCATCATTTTGCCCGTAGGGATGAGCTAGCGCAGGTGATGTTCAGGAACGGAGTCCACAACGACAAGCAACATACCGCCGTTTGTTTTCAAAACCATGCGGGCCCTGCGGGCATGCCTCCTTGGTCGTCCCGCTCAGGCGGGCGCAGAGTCCTGGGTCCGAGTGCAAGTAAAGGCTCACCTCGTGCTGGCTAGGTTTATTGACGCCGAATGTCTCGGATATCTAGACAACGGCAGCTTTCATCATCAATGGAACGACCTCAGCAGCGCCGTTATCCTCGAGGATTTGGCGAGGCTACCATGCGCTGGCCACGATCTGCAGGGGGCTGAGCAGCAACAAACTCAGCTGCGCCAGCGTCGAAAGTCATGGTTGCCAAAGCGACGACGTCTCAACTTGAGCGGCATATCTACGCCCGACGGCTCCCCCCCTGGCTCTCTGGAGGAAAGTGCTCGGACGTCGGCTTCTCGCCGGGGCGAGGTCCGCTCCCTGGGGCCTGGCGTTCACCCGAAACATCTTGGAATTATGGGGGAGCTCTCTGAGGATATTCCGCAAATTGCTCCCGGTATTGATTGGGCATTCAACTTCGGGGCCCTCCAGGGCATCATCGCGAGCCGACGCGAATCTGCATGTGGCCCAGGCAAGATCTCTCATTCATGCTGGAGGTGCGCAGAAGAGCGCGCCCAACGAGTGTTGTTTGACGCCTGCGAGGCGTTGTGCGCTGGTGCCAGTCTACCTTCTGTCTTTCACTACGGCCAGGGTAAGATATGCATCCCAGCGACACGGATGCGATCGTTCGACCCTCCCACCAAGTGCGACCGATTACCCTTCGCAATACCGATAACACATAGCTAGCGGGCGCGATCTGAGTCCCGACGGGCAGCAGGCAGTATTTTCGACCGACCTTATGCAGAAAAGGCTTCGTGGCAGGCAGAACTCTGATCGATCGTATTCTCGATATCGAGGGCAAGCTTCTTGAACGCGCATGTTGCAATGGCTGTCCTTTCGCTGGCCTTTTCCTAGTTGATATCAAGGCGGCCTTCCCCTCACCTTCGCATAGGTGGATCCTGCGCGCGTTGACGTGCATGAGCATTCCTGAGTTCATCCTGCATGCTGTCATCCAGCTCTACTCCGACCTCCACTCCTTCGTCATTTCGCAAGCAAGAAATACCCAGGATACCGAATCGCTCGAGGCATCAAGCAAGGATGCCCGCTATCGGGGGCCCTTTCCGCATTGGCATTCGATCCTGCATTGGGGAAACTGGAGCGCATCCTCACTCGCCTTCCGACCCCCTCGTCTCCATTCGCGTTCGCCGACGACGTTTCGCGGCCATGGCGGACCTGCGCCAGTCCCTGCCGGCGCTGATGAAGCATTTTATCGCAAGCTCAGTCGTCGCAGGTCTGCTATCGAACCTCGAGAAATGCGCGAGTGTGCTGGCGAGCGACTGTGGCCGAGCCGTGCTTAACCGCGAATTTCGGAGGTGGGGCATCAACATCAAATCCTTCGAGGTCGGCACGCACGGGAAGCATCTGGGAGCGATGATCGGCCCCACTGGGCCCGCTGCATCCCGGGTTTCTGTCATTGCCAAGCACGTCTCCGGGATCGGTCACATAAACACTCGGTAGCTCGGCTTAGTCCAGAACGCCAATGCCTGAAATTCGCTGTCCTTCTCGGCGTTGACGTGCAGTGCCGGTTTAAAAACATGCCCCGCGTGCGGATCATGTATACAAATGCAGGGATTTAGTATTAGAAACAACGATAAGTTCATGCATATATTAATTCATGAATTAACCATGTATTATAATCCTATACTTAAAAAAAAAAAATCCTTTGTCTTAAAAGCTGCCTTGTGCCTGATGCAGGTGCTCCCAGCGAGGCCAGAGGTAGTTCGCGCTGAAAGGAATGCTCTCCGGAGGCTGACCCTGGGCCCCCGGCGCGCCATCCCCATCTTTAATTCGGGCCTGTCCCACTACAAGGGGATTTCCAACGAAAAACCAAAAGTAGCCCCAAAATCGTAAAAAAAAAAAAAAAAAAAAAAAAAAAAACAATCCAAAAATAGTCTGGGGATCATTTGTGGGATATTGTTAAGCCTTTTTGGTGTATGTTTTGTGTATATTTCCCTACCTAGGCTCTGCCTCGAAGGGTTCTTACTTTCTATCTTAAAGGGGCCAGTGGGGCCCGCCCCGGGCGGTTCCACGAGCATCCGCCCCGCGGTTCCTCCAGCTACGTCCCGTTAGCTTAGCGTTGCTTATCTCATCTTAGTTTAGCTTATGCAATATTAGCTTAGCTTAGCTTCGCCTTAGCTCATGTCTATCTTAGCTTGGCTTACCTTCATCTTAGCTTCGCTGAGCTTTAGCAGAGCACAGCATAGCATAGCGTAGCATAGCATAGCGCAGCATCGCACAGCATAGCGTAGCATAGCATGGGTGTAATTCCCGACCTAGGTTCTGCCTAGAGGGTTCGCTTAGCTTGCGTTGCTGAGCTTAGCATAGCGCAGCGCTGCATTAGCATAGCATAGCATAGCATAGCATAGCATTGTCAAGCATAGCATAGCATAGCATAGCGTAGCATATCATATCATATCATATCATAGCACAGCTTATCATATCATATCATAGCTTAGCATAGCACAGCGCCGCATGACATAGCATATCTTAGCATATCAAATCAGATCATGACATAGCATAGCGCAGCATAGCATCGCATCGCATAGCATAGCGCAGCACAGCATGGCATGGCATAGCATAGCATAGCATAGCATAGTAACTAATGCTGCTTGCCTAGGGGCTCCAACTTCTAGATCGGGTCGCACTGGTGTAATTTTATTTTTCGTCGAGAATCCCATCTGTAAGGGGGACGCGCCCGACATGACCCTACCTCCGTCCTTCAGAACTCCCTGGATCTCGGGTTCCCCGTGGGCACCCCCTGGCCACCAACAAAGCCTCTATCTGTCGTGTTGTCCTGCAGAGTTCGGCGTTCGAGAGAGTGAAGGCTCGGCTACATCTTCTTGATTCAGAAGTCGTCGAGCGCCTTGCAATCGTTCGACATCGGCGTTGGCTCCAGTCCTCTACGCGTGTCCTACGGATTACTCATTGGAGCGAAGCTACGCGGATCTGCCCGCAGGTGGATGAATATACGCATGATGTACAGAGAAAGGTCACGCTCAAGATTGTCAAACCTATGGGTCGCCCGTCCTTCCCCGTCGAGCTGTTCCCGAGAGCGCGAAGATTCTGGAATGAGGCCCCCATGAGTCATCCCGACTTCTTGCATCGAGCCATTTTCCTTGCCGCTACCAAACGTGACCCATGTGATGCCCCCTCCCTTTTTGAAGTCGGTTTGTAACGCCCGGCCCACGTCGGCCCGTCTTCGGTCTGGGAGCGGCTGTTGTGTTATGGGGTGCGGAGCACCCGATTCCGACCACATTCTTCATTATGTTCAGTGCCTTGTGTTGTTGCCACTGCTGCCTGCCATCACCCCGTCTCTGCCAACAGATTTCAGTGAGTGGAGTGCTAGTGATAGGTTGCTTCTGAGACCCCAAATGCCTTCTAGCAGAGCCCTCCACGGTGCCGCTTTGATGCATGACCTTCTTCTCACCGCTTACAGTGCCATTCGTGACTTGTCCCCTATGGTCGACAACACCAGCAGGATTGAAGCACTGATACGGGCGAGGGCTCGAGCGATTGCCAAGCGTAAGCTGGCCATCAGGGAGGCTCTGACCCTAAGACCCGGTTCCCCCTGTTACGGAGCCTAGCATCACCATCATCATCACCAACATAACCAGTAGGATCATCATCAGTCTCATCACCATCACGATATCATCATCAGTCGCAGCATCTACAACAGCATAAATATCACCAGCATCATCATCATCATCATCATCATCATCATCATCATCATCATCATCATCATCAGCGTCATCATCATCATCATGAGCAGCAGCACTGTTATCATCATCGCCAGCACCATTATAATTTACATGAGTACCATCGTCATTACCAACATCATCATCACCATCGTCATCGTCATCACCACCATCACCATCACCGTCACCATCAGCATTGACAGCATCACCAGCAGCAGCATCATTATCATAATCAGTATTATCACCACTAATAGCATCATCAGTATCATCATCAGCAGCATCATCACCATCATCACCATCATCATCAACACCAGCATCCTCATCATCTTCATCACTATCATCATCAGCATCACCGTCATCATCTACATGCCCCCCCCCCCGACCGCCCGCGAGGACCGCGCCGCCGAGGTGGAGCTGGCGAGCGGGGGCGGCGGCGGGGGCGGTCGGGGTCGCAGCCGCTCCCCGCCACGGCGCGGGCCGCCGATGGGCGGCGGCGGAGGCCCGTTCCTCCTCCTCCTCCTCCTCCTCCTCCTCCTCCTCCTCCTCTTCTGCCTCCTCCTCCTCATCCTCCTCCTCTTCGTCCTCCTTCTAGTCCTCCTTCGCCTTCTCCTCCTCCTCCTCCTCCTCCGCCTTCTCCTCCTCTTCCTCCTCCTCCCTCTCCTCCTCCTTCTCTTATTCCTCCTCCTCCTCCGCCTCCTCCTCCTTCTCCTTCTGCTGCTGCTGCTGTTCCTCCTCCTCCTTCTCCTTTTCCTCCTCCTCCTCCTCCGAAAACATCCGTCGGAGGTTTTCGTCGGCCTTCGTTGGTTCACATAGGTTTACCAGCCTCGAGGTACTCTCCATCAGTTGCGCCTCGCCGAGAGCGTCCAGTGCGTGCCCGGATTGTTGGGGACGGTCGCCTGAGGCCCGAGTTATGGCGTAAAAGCCATCAACCGTCGAGGCGGAGGGCATCCTCACCCCTCCTCGTACTCCTCCTCGTCCTCCTCTCTACCTCCTCCTCCTTCTCCTTCTCCTCCTGCTATTCCTTCTCCTCCTCCTCCTCCTCCTCCTTCCTCTCCTCTCCCCCCCCTTTCCATTCTCCATATCAATAACTCCTCCAAGTCGGTCCCCCTGGCGTGTTGGTAGGGCCAGCCGGGCCTTTCGCCGCTTATGACCCTGAAGCTTATGACCCTGAAGCTTGACATGTGCAGCAGTGTCACGGATGGAGGGCGGGCCTTGTTCAGAACGTGGGTCTCGTTTGAGCGCCGCTCACATTCGTCTTAAGGCCTTTCGCAATTTCACGGCTGGATGCCCGTCCGTTTTCAAACTGTGGTTCTCGCCGGATCGCCGTATCATTCGTCTTAGAAGTTTGAAATCGTTTCAGAGGGTGGACAGTTTTTTGAACATGTGGCCTTCGCCGTAGCGCCAAGCCCATTCGTTTTTTTCGTACCAGCTTTAATGATGGAGGGCGGTCCCAATTCAACATGTGGCGTTCGCTTCAGCGCTGCGTGCATTCGTCTTGAAAGTTCGCAGCTGTTTCTGGTGCATTCGTATAGTTGAAGATTCTAGGAATGGTGTTCTGGCGCGGTTTAGATTCATCAGGGCGCAAATGATCTCGCTCAGTCTAGTCGTTGAAGTTCCACGATTGGTGTTCTGGCACGTTTCAAAGATCGCCAGGATGCAAGGGTAACGTTGACCCGCGGCGCTGAATTCCCAGGAACGGCGTTTTGGCACGCTTGGGAATTCTCAGGTGGTTGTCCTCCAATCTGGCGATTTCCTCAAAGACAAAAAATCGAGGGGCCTATGAAGAGGGAACTTGGGGGAGGGTTCACAGCAACATCGTAACACCGTCGATGCGACTTGGGTTTACACAGGTCCTGCTTCTCCTTTTCCTCCTACCTTTTCTTCTCTTTCTCTCTCTCTTCCTCCCCTCATCGTGCTCCTCCCTCTTCCTCCGTATTTGTTCCGCGCTGAGCGGACATTAAGTGCTATGTTTGTTGCGTCCTGACAGTGCGAGAGACATCAACGCCGACTTCGTCGGCCTGGGCAAACACATTAAGACCTATTCCTCCCAAGCCTCTCCCTCCTCCTCCTCCTCCTCCTCCTCCCTTCTCCCCCTCCTCCTCCTTCTCCTTCTCCTCCTCCTCCTCCCTCTCATCGCCCTCCTCCTCCTCCTCCTCCTCTTCCTCCTCCTCCTTCTCCTCCTCCTCCTCCTCCTCCAGGCCATCGGGACGACCGTCCGTCTGCTCGTAGGTCACGGTTGTCCGGCATGGCGAATGACGCGGCAGAGCATTTGCAGCAGTTGTCGTTGTCGTAGGGCTCCCACCACCCCAAATCTCAGCTCCTCCTCCTCCCCCTCTTCCTCCTGCTCCTCCTGCACCTCCTCCTCCTCCTGTCAAAGAAGAAGAAGAAACAAACAAGCGGCATAAGCATAAACTTTTGACGCTCCGCGCAGATTTCTTGGATCCGCGCTAGGACCCTCTGGCGGCGCCGCCCCTGGCGCGCTCCGCGCGCCAGGGAGAGGGGGATCCAGCGCAGATCCAAGAAATCCGCGCGGAGCGCAACAAGTTAATGTTTATACAGTTGTTGTTATTCTTATATCCTCCTGGTCAGCTCCGGCCGCTGGCCTGGCTTTGCGAATTGCCCAGCCACTTCCAAATGCCCCCTCATTCTCCTCATCCTCATCCCTCCTCCTGCTGCTCCTCCTCCTACTTCTCCTCATCCCTTCCCTCCTCCTCCCCGTCTGCGAGTGGCAGTCCAATCCCGTCGGACCTGATGACACTGAGGAGCTTCTGTCTGCCTTGGCCAGTTCAGTCCCCCGACAGCTTCGGTCCCAGGCTGCCAAACATCCGGAGGGAGGCTGTCTGACTGAGAGGGGTGACGTATACATCGTGCGAACCAACCTGCAACGCATGCAGAAAAGGGCATGCTGAAAGAGGCTGAAGCACTGCAGGGGCAGTGCGCGCCACGCTTTGGAACGGAGACCGACAACGCAGAGCAGAGTACCAGCGGCCTCTTTGGCAAATGTGGCCTGCATGCACCGGACACGGTGCGCCACCGTGCTTGTGAAAGCCCGTGCGCTTCCCAGCTCAGTCACCTGCGGGTGGAGCACACTGAGAACCTTTGTGAACGGGCTGCCACGGAATCCGATGCTGGACTCAACACTCAGGAGGGAAAAACCATCGCAGACACAATTGATCGTCGACCCCCCAGAAAATATGGGAAAATATGGGAAGTGGGGGGGAAGACAGAGAGACCCCGAAAATACAGGATAATGTGGGGAATATTTTTATTTGTGTGAATTTATGTGTGTGTGTGAATGTGTGTATTTTTTATGTATTTATTCATTCATTTATTCATTTATTTATTTATTTATTTATTTATTCATTCATTTATTTATTTATTTATTCATTTATATATATATGTGTGTGTGTCCTGGGGCCCCTTCAGGCACGTCGCTTCGCCTCGAGGCAGCGGCTCCAGCGGCTGGCACGGCGTGCCGCCGCCCCCTGGCTCGGGGGGGGTGGCGGGGGGGCCACGGAGGGCCCCTCGGCCCGGGACCTCGGGCTCCGGGCCCGGGCGGCCTCCTCGGCTGGAGCTGGCACGTCTTCGGGGGCGCAGACCTCGGGAGCGGAAAAGAGGGGGGTGATGACTAGGGGGGGGGGGATATCATAGCGTGGGCCATGATATTTCCCCAGATCTCATGGCGCCTCTTCTTATTTCATTACGTCCCTGGCCCGCCCGCTGGGCCGCGCACATGCCGCCGGTCATGATTTGCACACCCCCCTCTTCGACACCCCCCTCTTTGCCGCTCCCGATCGGCTGGAGCTGGCACGTCTTCGGGGGCGCGGACCGTTGTGGGTGCCATGACGCTGGATCAAACGACGCGAAGATCGGGACAGAATCGGATCGGGATGACTCGAAAGCTCTGAGAATCGGCGGGTTTGGAGGATGTATTGGGCGCCGCGGCCGCTCCAGAGCGTTCCGGAACGCTCTGAGAGCGCTCCGGAACGCTCTGGAGCGATTTATCCCGATCCTAGCCCTGTTTTATCTTCGGGTGCGCGGACCGTTGTGTGTGCCATGACGATGGACACTCTGACAGACGTACCATTGAATTACATTTTCTCTAAAAACAAGCATGTGTCGACGTGCTTGAAGCATGACGCTTGCTGAACATATCACCAACAAGCTCGAGACATCTGGAACACATTTGGCAACACACCTCCTCTCGACTGATCGTGTTCCACAACTCGACCATCGCAGCCTGGCTTCCACTCTGCCACCCCTGCCGGGCTAAGTGGGCCCCGGAAAAGGCAGGGCCGTTTTTTCACCATTTCCGAAAAGGTGCCCCTTGAAAATGGAAACGGCAAAACAGCGGCGACCGGAAACGGCAACAAAGACGGCTCCCGGATTGGAACCGGAGCGGGAGCCCGCAAAAGAACGGCGACGGAACCGGTAAAAAAACGGCGTCGGAACCGGCCAAAAAACGGCAAAACGGAACTGGTAAAAGATCGGCCCTGTCGTTTCCAGGGCCCACTAAGCCGTAGAGTGGGCTGGAGATTTGTTTCTCCAAGCTCGTGCTGATACAATCAACGCGCCTAGTAAGGACGCGCGCCTTCATCTGGGGTGCCCTTGCGTCCTTGCCTCTGAGGCTCGTCCTTGCCATTATCACTGGTCGCCCGCCGCCCTAAAAAAACCCAACTTCGGCCTCCCAGGGTCTTGCGTCCTTACCTCGCGTCCTTACAATATGTCTTCACTGTATTACATCCCCCTCTGGTGACGCCTCCGACCTCCGCCCCCCCCACACCTAGAGGGGGGTACGGCGGCGTAGATGGACGACGGAGTGCGCCGGCTGCTGAGTTGGAGTCCCTGTGATGGTGCCTGCGCCTTACAGGAGGGTCCATCCTCCAGCAATCTGTGTTCGCTGCAAGGGGGAATCAAAGGGCTGACGCATAATGGAGGATGACGATTAATAAATGACCGGGGGTCGTGTTCACGCGGCGGCGCCTGGGATGACGATTAGAAAAAACCGGCCGCGGGCTGGAAAACTATGTTTTAAGCGTTCTCCTCCAGTCAGAAAGTTGTGCAGAAATAGCAGAAAACTATTTTGTTAATCGTTCTTTCCCTTTTTTTATTAATCGTCATCCCGCATTACGCCCAGCTCGGGGCTATGCAGGCGGCGGCGTGGATCGGGGGGCAGGCCCTGCACCTGGGGGGCGCCAAGGCTGCCTTGGTCCACCAGCGCCTCGCGTCGAGGCCCCCCACCAGCGCAAGGGCTCCCTCCTGGACTGGCTCGGGGCCACGGGGTGCAGAGGGGACCTGTGTCCGACGAGAAGCCGGTGCTGTCGGAGCCCTTCGTCCTGGTGATGGTGATGGTGGTTGTGGTGGTGGTGGTGATGATGATGAGGAGGAGGTGGATGAGGAGGAGGAGGAGGAGGAAGAGGAGGAGGAGGAGGAAACAGGCGGAGCCGTCTGTGAGTCGAAGGGCGGAGGCTCCGTGCCACACGGCGGGTGTGCTCCATGGGCCCGTCGTTCGGCGCTGGGCGGGCGCCCGCGATGAGTGGGCGTGATCCGGGGCGTCGGGAGGCTGATCGAGCAGGCGACTTCGGGCGAAGATCCTCAAGCAGTGGCGAAGCGTCCTGGCTCGCCTATAGCCCCACCAAACGATGTTCTAAGAACCTTTTGTGGTTTCCACGAACTGTTCTTCGAACACTTCTGGTTGAGGCTGCCTTGTTTTGACATCGGATTTATGTTCTAAGAACATTGTTTTGTTATTCGAACATTGTTTTGGTTCTACGAACATTTCGTGGTATGACTATAGGAATGCCGGGACGTTCGGTCCCTTCTCAAGATCCAGTGACCCCTTCGGGCCGTTAGCAACTAGATACTGGGTTTTGCGAGGTAAGCATCCTGATCCTGGTCAGTCCTGGCCAATCCCCCCAATCGCGGGAGGCTCGGGTCGTCAAGCCGACGTTGCTCTGCAGAATGGGTCTTCTAAGAAGCCTCGAATGTAGTTCCTGGTGGGCCGCCCCCACTGGGTGATGACTACAGCCAGCTGCGTCGTCGATTCTTCCAGGCAGTTTGCTGCAATCTCCCTGTAACTCATCCTCCTCCTCCTCCTCCTCCTTGTCCTCCTCCTTCTGCTCCTCATCCTCCTCCTCCTCCTCCTCCTCCTTGTCCTCCTCCTCCCCCCTCCTTCTCGCTACTCCTCCGCCTCCTCCCCCTCTTCCCACCCCCTCTTCGGAGGAGGGGGGGAAGAGGGGGAGGAGGCGGAGGATGGATGGATGGATGGATGGATGGATGGATGGATGGATGGATGGATGGATGGATGGATGGATGGATGGATGGATGGATGGATGGATGGATGGATGGGTGGATGGATGGATGGATGGATGGATGGATGGATGGATGGATGGATGGGAGAAAGTTGGAAGGGGCGGAAGAGGGGAAAGTAGCAAGAGGATGGACGGATGGAGGGGGGGAGGAGGAGGCTCCTCCTCGTCCATCCCTCCATCCATCCTGCTTTCTTCCACCGACGACAGCGACGCCGCCGACGAACAGCGGCGGCGACGACGGCTGAGCGATCGCGCAGCCCTGGCACGCGCGGCCGCCAGGCTTCGGCGGCGGCGGCGAGGTGAGGCCCGGGGACTGGACGTGCCCAAGCTGCGGCGCCAACGTGCCCCGCCTCGGCCGAGCTCTTGCAGCGACGAAGCGTCGATTCAGCCTTGACTCCGGAGGAGGGGAAGGAAGAGGAGAAGGAGGAGGAGGAAGAGGAGGGGGAGGAGAGGAGAAGGAGGAGGAGGAGGAGGAGGAGGAGGAGGAGGAGGAGGAAGGGGGAGTAGGAGGAGGAGGAGGAGGAGGAGGAGGAGGAGGAGGAGGGAGGAGGGGAGGAGGATGAGGAGGAGGAAGGAGGAGGAGGAGGAGAGGAGGAGAAGAGGAGGGGGAGGGGAGGAGGAGGGAGGAGGAGGAGGAGGAGGAGAGGAGGAGGAGGAGGAGGAGGTGGAGGGAGAGGAAGGGAGGAGGAGGAGAGGAGGAGGAAGGAGGAGAGAGGAGCGGAAAGGAGCTTCCCGGAGATGAGAGGAGGAGAGGAGGAGGAGGGAGGAGAATGATAAGGAGAAGGCCTGCTCGTTGGGCCTCAGGGGCCCTCGTTGGGCCCCAGCGTCGCAATGAGAGGCCAGGATGCAAAACCGGTCCTGGGGAAAAGATCCAGGACTTGCGAGGATTGCGCGTGGAGGAATCAAGACATCGCACGTCAGATGAGGAGCAGAAGCCGGAGAACCCCCAGGGGGAGTGAGGAGGAGGGGCGGGGGAGCGGGAGAGGCAAGGGGGGGATGAGCATCAGCTGGGGCGTGGGGGGGGGGTAGGCTCGCTCACGCCGCCCGACTGATCGGGGCCTGGACTTCCTGCTCTCGGGTGCCACGTCCCCGGGCCTCGCGGCGGGGCCACGGCGGCTGCGCGAGGTTGGCAGGCAGCAGATCGCCGTGTCTTGGACGAGGTGCAGAACTCGTTGGCGAACCGGCGCCGCGCGACTGCCAATCGCTTCGCCCCGTTAGGTGACGACCGCGCTCGGGCGAGGGCGGCGCCGGCGCGACGTTATGGGCTTGCTCCGTCGGCGGGGTCGCCGATCGGCCGATCCGAGCCCAGAGCCGACTGGGCATCGCCATGGTGGTCGATGCTCGAGAGACCGCCTGCCGCCGCGCCGAGGAGGAGCGCAAGCGGGAAACAGGGGCGAAAGGCGCGCGAGTCCCAAAGTTGATCGGACGGCAGCACGCATGCCCACGCGCCATGCGCGGCCGCGCCATCGGGGGCGCCCAGCGCCCAGGTTGGCAACCATCGAGATCTCCGCCGAGTACGCGGAGCGCTTCTTAGGGGGTCATCTGGGGCCCGCGCGGCGAAGTCCGCGGGCGAGCCCGTGGCGTCGCGACCAGGCGGGCCAAGATCACGCACTGCGACTTGCAGGTGCGCAAGGAGCATGCGAAGCTGAACTTCGGCGAGATCTTGGGGGGGGCGCTCCGCGACGCTTGGAACGACGCCTCGTCGCGCGGGCAGCAGTCTCGGCGGCGATGGCGTCGCCGCGCCTGGGCTGGGGTTCCCGCCCAGGCCGCCGCGGCCAAGCGGCCGGCTCGCCCCGCCGCCCCCGGGGCAACCCTCCCCAGCGCCGCGCCGCGGGCAGAATGGAGGCAAGGGCGGCGGCGGCAAGGGCGGCAAGGACAAGGCGCCGCCGCTCCGCGGGCGAGTCGGGCGGGACTCATTGGCGGGATGGGCGCGTCGGGGGGGCCGCTGCCAGCGGCGCGGCGGCCCAAACACCCCGCCCGGTGCGCGGCGAGCGCTGCGAGCCCGCCCCCCCGTCCGGCGTCGGCCCGCCAAGGCCATCCCCGTCGGCCACTGGGCCTTGGGCTGGGAGGTCCCGATCGGCTGGCAGACCCGCGAGGAGAGCGGCCCAGACGCGGAAGCATCGCTGTCCGACCTGGGCCCAGCTCCGCCGGCGGCGACGGCGCCCAGGGGCGCCGGCGCGCAGCCGCCACGCCCGGCAGCAGCAGTTGCACCGGCGCCCTGGGCCCTCCATTTTGTTCCGGGCCGCGCGCGCTGCTCTAGCGTCGAGGACTTCCTGGTTCCAGAGGCGGCAGAGGACCCTGGGGCGTCGGGGTGGACAGTGCAGGGGGAGGACGTCGAGGCGCCCATCACGCGACACGCGACATCCTCGACTCGGACGCGCGGCTTCGGCGCTTGCGGCAGATCCGGGAGAGGCCTTCGGCACCGCCATCGTTGCTGCGCTCTGCTCGACCTTCTTGCGCGCACCGTTCGCGAACACGCAGTGATGGCCCGTGGTGGCGAACGCGCGGAACGGCATCGCCCCGGGCTCGTTCGCATCCCAGGCGCCCGGGAGCCGCCCGCCATGGCGCGCCAATGCCTGAGGAGAGCGGGTCGGTGGCCACCACCCGGGCACGCGCGACCCCCGGAGGCGCGCTCGCGCGGCCAAGTCAAGGGCAGCTCTCGCCCTGGCCACGACGGACGCGGAGAGGCCAACAGCGGCTCCCCCCCCCGGGCTGCCGAGGGCCGCGCGAGGCTGCCCAGTGAGGGAGCTCCTGCACCAGATGGCGGCCAGAAGGGGCAAGGATTATGATGTTCCGGCCTACTGTAGCCTTGACCACCAGAAAGAATTTCGAGCACCAGAAAAGCACCCCCAAAACTCGAGGGCTTCCACGCGCCGGATCCTGGGAAACACTCCGCCGACACTGTTTCGACACTCTCTTTCGACACTCTTCCGGGTGCTCGAACATATTTCTGGGGTGTGGTTTTTAAGTAAGATGGGGTCAACCTAACGTTGGGTGCTGGTCGGACTTCGGATTTCGCTCGCTTCGCCCCCGCTGGAGAACAAGGTAGTGTGCGTTGGAAGATCGGGCCGTGCACGTGCATCTGTCGTGGGCGGGGCCTCGGTTGGGGCTTAGGATGGGGAGGTTCTCCTCCCGAGCCCCTGCAGCTACGGGCGAGGGACTTCTCCCTCCGCGCCCCCTGTTGGCGCGAAGCCCCTCCCCCACTGGGGGGGGGGGGCTCGTGCCACTCGTCGCCGCATCTCCCCCCCCCCCCCCCCCCCTTCGGGTGGGCCGATTCGGGGGCGCGGTTTCCCTCTGGGGGTGGGGGGGGGGAGTTCCTGTTTCTTTGCCGCCCCGCCCGTGGAGGCGGCCTTCGACGCCTTCGTGCTCGAGTTCGACGACGTTTTCGAGCTCAAACGTGTTCTTCGGGGCCCGGGTGGCCCAGAGGGTGCCTGGGGCGGCCCCCTCATTTGCAAGTTGGTCGGACTCTGGATTTCGCTTGGTTCGGCCCCACGGAACACGGGGGATTGGAAGTTGGAAGTGTGTCGTGCGTCTGTCGTGTGTGTGTGTGAGTGTGTGGGGGGGGGAACCCTAACCCAACAGGGTCTCAGGAAACGCAGGGCCTTCTCTTCCTCCCCCTCCTTCTCCCGCCCTCCATCCACCATCCCTGGCATCCGCGACCCTAGCAGCAGGCCATGTGGGGGGGGGAAAGGGGGAGGAGGAGGAGGAGGAGGACGAGATGGAGGAGGGAGAGGAGGAGGAGGAGGAGGAGGAGGAGGAGGACGAGGACGAGGAGGATGAGGAGGACGAGGAGGACAAGGAGGAGGAGGATGAGGAGGAGGAGGAGGAGGAGGAGGAGGGACGACCACGACGAGGAGGAGGACGATCACGACCACAACCACGACCACGACGACGACGACGACGACAAATACGACGACAACAGAAAATACGACGACGACGACGACGACGACGACAAATACGACGACAACAGAAAAGACGACGACGACGACGACGACGACGACGACGACGACGAATACGACGACAACGGCAAATACGACGACGACGACGACGGGAGCCAGGTGTTCGCATCCAAGCCGGAGTGCTTCAAGTGCGGGACGCCCAAGGGCGGCGGAGGCGGCCCGCGCCCCCTGGGGCCGCCGGGGGGCGGGAGAGGCGCCGCCGCCGCAGCCCGATATTGCCCTCGGGCCTCCGCCCCCCCCGCCGCGGGGGGGCACGCCGCCCGGGCGGAGAGGGCGGCGGCAGGCCCGCCAGGGCCGGCGGGCGTAGGATTATGTCGGGCGTGTCCCCCTGCAGGGCGATTTTCGACGAAAAACAAAACATACACGCCAAAATACCCCAAGAAGGTCAAAAACTCGTAAGAATGAAATAATCCCCAGACTATTTGTAGATTATTGTTCGACTATGTTTGGGGTATTTTGTAGTTTTCGTCGAAAATCCCCCTGTGGGGGGACAGGCCCGACTTAAGCGTAGGACGATCGGACGGCTCCGCCGGCGGGGTGTGGGTGCAGGCGGGCGATGCGGCGGCGAGCGAGGGGGGGTGGGGAGGGAGAAGGACGAGGCCTTCCCAGAAGGCGGCGGGACTTCTCAGAAGCCCTCGCGCCTTCTGAGGAGAAGAAGAAGAACACGTGTTGTTCTGTGTGCTTCGGGGGAGGCCCAGACACCTTTTCAGAGCGCGGGGGGGCTGCCGAGCCCTCCGAGAAGGCCCGCTCCTTCTCACTTCCCCCCTTCGCTCGCCGCCGAGAGAAGGCCCGCGGAAGGCAGAGGACGCTTACCAGTGCTGCATGGCCCGTCCCCCTCAGCACCTCGTCCAGGTCACCACCGGCCTCGCCGCCCCCTCCAGGCGCGGGCGCCCCTGATGGCCCTAGGAGCGCCCCAGGACGGCCCCGGGAGCCGCCCCGTCGGTGGTTGGTACGTCCATTCGTCGGTCTTGCTTTTCCTGCTGGCTCGACCCCTCTGCTGCTCATCTCGCTCCCCGTCCCTCCACAAGTAGCCACTCGATATGAATATACTGCCCTCCTCCATCCCCCGAGGATGGCCCGGGAGAGGCTCACCCCCCTCCGCGTGTTTCTGTCACGTCGGATCTCATGTTGCTTGTTATATATATATATGTATATATAGATCCACTTGTTTTTCAATCGTAGCGTTTTCGGTGTCTCGAAGTGGTGCTGCCGCTGCAGCGCTGGCCTCATTCTACTACCGGTGCCCCAGCGCGGGCCCTTTTTCTCCATCCGAGCCCTTCCTCGTCGACATCGCCCCCCTCCTTGCCCCTCCTCGGCCTTCCCTGGTCCTCCTGCTCCTCCCGCTCCTTCCGCTCCAAGTCCCGCTGCTGCTGCTCGTCCTCGTCCTCCTCCTTCCCCATCCTGGTCCTTTTCCTCCTGCCCATCCTCCTGTTCCTCCGCCACCTCCTCCTCCTCCTCCTCCTCCTCCCCCTCCTCCTCTTCCTCCTACGCCTCCTCCTCCTCCTCTTGACTCATGACACGATGAGATCTTTTTGACAGCCGTCCGCGGATAGAGATATATCAGCGTAATGGGGAGGGATTGGTGTGAGAGGTAGGATGTCAGATATGGCGCGAGCGAGCACCTAGCTTGTTCCCCGCCCCCCTCTCCTCCCGCTACCCTCCCTCCCACCCTCTCCTCACCTGAGATCAGACGTTGCGAGAACTTCCAACATCCGAAGAAAACACGACTGGAGCCCCAGACCCCATCTTTCCCGGCATTTTTCGAGCCGGCTCGATCAATCTATGGTGGTCCCGAGCCCGGGCGAAAATCCCTGGTGGGAAAATACAACGGCTGTATCTCAGGTTCCCTCCCCCTCCTCCTCCTCCTCCTCCTCCTCCTCCTCCTCCTCCTCCGCCTCCTCCTCTTCCTCCTTCTCCTCCTCCTCCTCCTCCTTGCGTTGCCCAGAGCGGACTCTGAATTCTATGCTTGTAGCGTTCTTCCTACTCCTACTCCTACTCCTTCTCCTCCTCTTCCTCCCTCATCCTCTCCTCGTCTTACTCCCTCCTCCCTCCCTCCCTCCCTCCCTCCCTCCCTCCCTTCCTCCCTTGCCTCGGACGGGGCCAGGAGGAGCAAAAACCTGTTCCAGAGCGTCCTGGAACGCTCCGAGAAGGCCGCGGCGCCCGATGCATCTTCCAGAACCGCCGGATCTGAGAGACTATATCGTTTTATCCTCACCCGATGTCATCTTCGTCTTGGCGTCGCCCTACACTCCAACTGCTGCCGGCTGCGCCGCCGCCTCCGCTCCGGCGCCCCCTCCGCAGGCGGCCGCGGCGGGCGCAGCCCCGACCGCGGCGGCCGCGGCGGCGACCGCTACGACGACCGCCGCGGAGGCGGCGGCCCCCGACCCCGGGAGGAGGGCGTCGTCCTCGTCCTCCGCCGCCGCCTCCTCTGCCACCGCGTCCTCCTGCTTCTCCTCCTCCTCATGCTCCTCCTCCTCCTGCTCCTGCTCCTCCTCCTCCTCCTCCTGCTTGTCCTCCTCCTGCTTCTCGTCATCCTCCTCCTCCTCCTCCTCCTCCTGCTGCTCCTCCTCCTCCTCCTCTTCCTCGGCGTACTCTGTCGGCAAGCTGAGGAGCATCGTCGTGAAGGCCCGCAGCGAGGACCTTTAAGCTCCCTTGCTGCTGCCCTCCCTCCTGGACTCTGACCTCTGTCGAACGCTGTGCCTCCTCGGCGTGCTTCCTCATCATCCCCTTCCCACTTCCCCCTTCCCCCTTCCCCTCCTCTCCCCTCCCTGCTGCATTCAAAAGTCGAAAGCACGCGATGCTCTAAAGCTGAACGGCAGCTCTTCGGCACCACCGTTTCGCCGCACGCTCCCACTGTCTTCTGCAGCCCGATCGGGGGAGTGGCCCCACACCTGGCTTGGCCGCGTCTCCGCGTGCGCTCTGAGCCCACGTGGCTGTCGATGCAGACTGTGGTGCGCAAGTAAGACACGGTGTCGTCGGCCTGTCTCTCCTGTCCATCGGGTGTCCGCACTCGCCCACTTCGCTCTCGCTCGCTCTCCCTCCGGGACTTCGCCTCCGGCTCCTGTTCAAGGCGTACCTTTTCCTGTGCAAGCTCTTCGACACCGCCTGCACCCCGTGCCCTCCGGCCGCCTGAGGCCCCGCCCGCCCGCGCCCTGTCTCCCCAATTAGTGCTTTGCGCGCCCCGCCTAGCTCTTAACCGGAAGAGGCCCGCTCTCGACCCGCAGACCAAACAAGTGTCCGCACTCGCCCACTGCATCTGACTTGGAGCAGCTGAAGTTTCCCCCCCCAAGGCATATCCAAGCCCACCCCCGCCGATGCCGTGCAAGCGATGAGACGGAGCGCATGCGCGACTGCTCAGGGCGAGTGCTCATGCGCGAATGCTCAGTGCGCGTGCGGAATTCAGCACCCAATGATCTCGCACATTTCAAACGACCAGGTCCATCGATGAACAACCTTGGGACCTAATACACACGTGTCTTTGAAACAGCAGCTTCGTCTCTTGTGCGACGGCTGCCCCAGGGGCCGGAGCGGATCCTTTGAGAGACGCCGTATTCGACCCCAGGACGCCGACTCTTGTCACAGACAAAGTCGTCCAGAAGTCCAGAAAGTTGGGGGACCACGGCTCGAGTGGGTAAAACTACTACGTCGAGACGCCGCTCGTGTCAGTGGGAACGTAAGAGATGCAGAGCGATTTCGCGAACGCACGGGTCCTGCGCTCGCCGCCGACGCGCCCTGTGGCGTATGGCGTTGCTTCTTGCCTTGTGCCCCGCCTCTGCTCCCCCCCCCTCCCCCTCGTGCGTGCCTTCGGGTGGCCCCCGCGTCGCCAGCGGTGCATCCGCAGGGAGGCCTTCTTCGCGGGCAGCACGGACCTCGGACCTGGTCGGACTGTGTCGCCGTCCCCAGTGGTTGAGCCCACCCGCCGGTTGCCTCCATGGGGCACGCCCCGGGGAGCACGGCGCCGTGGCCCGCGCGCCAGGGCACGCCAGCTCTTTGGGAGAACTCCGGGCGCCGCCGCGGTCGTGGCGGGGGCGAAGGGCGCCCAGACCTTGCGGGTGAATGTTTTTTCTGCTGGACGAGAGGGCGGTCGCTGCTGAGGCCACGCCTGGGCTACTCCTCCTTCAAGCCACGGACTCGCTGCCTCTCTGTCCTCTATGCGTGCTTGCAAGTTGTTTTTGTTGCCATCGTGCCCAAGTCTGTTTACCATCCACGCACATGGATTCATGACCGCAGCGAGCCCCGAGCGTGAAGTCCGGTCGACGTCAAGAGTTGAGGCTTCGCCCCGCGGCGTCGCAGTTGCACCGCGGCGCGTCGATCCCTCCTTCCCCCTTCCCTCCCCACTGCTCCTCGGCAGCCTGGCAGGGGTCAGACCCTTGAGAGCTCGAACAGCGAAGGCTTGTGTCAACATCTTTGTTCGCCGCTCCGCGCGGAGTTCTTCTTGGATCGGCGCTGGGCCTCCCGGGCAGCGCCTCCGGCGCCGATCCCGGCGCGCTCCGCGCGCCAGGGAGGGTGCAGAGTCGAACCTCCAGCAGTTTGTGTTCATGCCGCTTTGTCTTCCTCTATCGGGCCGGACGACAGGGGGGGATTGGGAAAGGGGGGTTTACGAAATCTGCTGCATGCATCGGCCTCACCGAGGGGCCCATTCCTCGATACATAGCCGCCTCTGCTATCCCCCCCTTTCGCCCGACCCGACTCTATGAGGGTCACAACTCTTTGCCAGGTTGGGGGGAGTTCGATCGCCATTTCCCGCCGTCTAGGTCGGGACCCTTGGGGAGCAGTTGTTGCTTTTTGCAGGGGGGGCATCTGCAAAACGGCTCCTGTCCGGTGAGCTGCACCACCCGCGTTACGTTGCTGACCTCTACGGACGCCTCCGCGCAGCCGGAGGCCCTCCTCGTCCTCCCCCGCTCCCCCCCTCCCCCTCCTCCCCCCCCTCCCCCACGGGAAAAAGTTCTTCTCCGGTACAGGGTTTGTTCTCCGGGAAAAAGGTTCGTTCTCTGGGCGACATGAGGCAAATGCCAGGTCGGTTAGTTCTTCGGGAGAGACCAAGCCTTACAGGTTTTCCCGCCTTGCCCACACACTACAAACCAAACACAAAACACCAACCCCAAATACCAGCCCCCAAACACCAAACACCAACCCCCAAACACCAATCACCGAACACCAGACACCAAATACCAAACACCAAACACCAAACACCAAACACCAAACACCAACACCAGACACCAGACACCAGGCACCAGACACGAAACACCAAACACCAACCACCAAACACCAAACACCAAACACCAGACACCTGACACCAGACACCAGACACCAGACACCAAACACCAACCCCCAAACA